GGAAAGAGATGAGGCACAAAGGTGTCCCGCAGCACCAGGTAGCCCCCATGGCCATCCTCCCGCAGGGGAGAGGGATGCCAACCCACTCAGTTTTTACCCTACAGCCACACCAATGCAGTCACCAGGACCAAGAAGCACACATCCAGCATTTAGAACATCCTGGTGACGGCAACGGGGGCACAAGCCACCACCTGCGGAGTCCCTTGGCACCTCTGCACCACAGAAGCCCTTATCTGGGGGGCTGAGTAAGGGCTACCAGCCCCATCCCTGAGCCAGCAGTGTTTGCTGGTGGCCCGAGGCTGCAGAAGACCTTGCCATCAATTCCATCATCCCCAGCTCTCCTACCAGCCCAGCTGGAGGACACGAGGGACTCCCTGGAAGGAGAAGACAGCCTGGAGGATGCCTGGGGAGGGTTCACAAGATCACTCCCATCTCCAGTGCTGTAATCCAGCTTTCTCAAAGCAATGTTTTCACAGGTGGATGAGACACCTCTGAGAGCGGCATGGGCAACATCTTCATCAACGGACATGTTATTCTTATGGTGCGATGCAGGAAACAGAGCCCCTGGGGTAAGGGTTGTCTTTTCCCTTTATTTAGACAGCTTTTAACAGAACTAAGGAAAGAGAAACGCAGCCTCTCGGGCTGCGCTAGCCCTGCCCTATGGTTTCAGCAGTTTTTAGAAGCCTAAATCTGAGCTGCAGATGAAACATTTAAGCTGTGTCAGCCCCAGATGCCCACAGTTGGCATTTTCAGAGCTTCTAGGTGACACCATCTGCTGCCTGGGGACAGCCAGCTTGCAGGGCTGCTTTTTGGTACTAGAAACACAAAGTTTAGTGTCTCAGCCCCCATCCCCACCACCAGACTGGGAACACGGATGGCCTGGGAGCCAGAGCAGCACTGGTACCCAAGCTGAGCCAGGGTAGAGGTGGCCATGTCCTCTTCCACCCCTTCGTTTCCTCTCTGGCACTGCAAAGCTCTAAGAGGAAACTACTATGAATAATAATATTTTGTTATTAATTTAGGGTTGTCTTTTCTCCAGTGGCTGCACTCACCTGCGCTGGTGAGGAGGCCAGATCAGGGCTGTAGCCTGGTGAGGAGAGGTGGAAGCTGCAGCGGCTCATCGCAGGGACAGGCAGGGAGAGAGAGGAGGAGGAGGAGGAGGAGGAGGAGGAGGAAGGATGCTTGTCTGCTGAGTTACTCAGAAACTCCGGGGAGGAGCTGAATGCAGGGTCAGCCCGCAGCCTCTGGGGGTTAGAGAAGGCATTTGAAAACCCAGCTTTGGGCTCCAGCACTGCTTTCCCAGTCCTCCCAGTGATGCCCATAACATCTCTCCCCACACACCAGGAGACCCCTCTGCATCCCAGCTCCATTCTCTAACCCTCAGGCTCAGAACCTCACCCTTCAAAGGCAGAACTTTTTCAAGAAATAAAATAGTCATCAACCCTAAACCAGCCATAACCACCCCAACATTTATTTTAGACTTAGAGACACCCTCATCTCCCTATGTCCTTGGGGATTACTGCTCCACAGCCCCAATAGGGAGGGAAGAAGAAAAAACCAACAAAACCAAAACACCCCCCCCACCCCAAACCAAACCTATTCTCACTTAGAAAAATCTCTTAACAAGCTTTTTAGCAACCCAGCCCTCCCTCCCTCCTTTATAGGGAGCACGAGGAGGGCAGGGGGATGCTGGGGAGCTTCACCCTGAAAGCCATAGAGACCTCTCCCTTTTTGCTTTTGCTCCAGTTGGTGCCTGTGTGGGGCTGTCTAGCTACACTTGGGTCAAATCCTATCCTAAGCAGGGTGGTCTGCTCTTGTTTTGCCAGAGCACAGGATCTCTGCCTCCCAAATCTGGGCTCTCCTACCTCAGGGGAGCGGGTATGGTCCTCGGTGGGCAACGAGTGGTAAGCAGACTCAGGTGTACAGAGCGAGTGGCTGGGGACAGGAGCAGCCAGGGTTGGGGATGCTGGGGCTGTGCCTGGTGCTTGCTGGTCCTCCTGGGTGCCGGGGGAGAGTGGCGGGGGTAGAGCCTGTGTGGTGGGTGCCCGGTGCTCGTGCAGGCGGGCGGTGAGGGCCAGCCGGCCGCAGTGCATCGCTGGCTGCTTGCTGCCCACCCGCAGCAAAGCCATCACGGCGCTGTAGTGGTACCAGTCCTCATCCCTCCCAGCGGAGAGCTTCATCCGGGGCTGGTTGGTGCGGGGATAGATGGCAAAGAAGGCTTCACCCACCCGCTGGCTCCTCCACATCCTCTCTGCCCTCCTGGGAAAGTGCAGGGCCTCAATGTGGAGCCGCACGTCGTGGTTCTTGTCGTTCTTGCAGAAACCTGCCAGGAGTGGTGAAAGCGAAGCCTTGCTTAGGAGGGCTGGTGGTCCCCGGAGCATCTCCTGGGCTTATCCACCAGCAGCCCTGGTTAGCTAGCAAATGGGTTATCCAGCCAGGATGCATTGACACTTTGGGGGTGTGTGTGGGTGTTTGCATTGCTGGGAGTGTTGGCCCCACTCTCCAAGCTGGATCTGCCCCATTCACCCCACTAAGCTCAGACAGCTTTGACTCCAGCTCAAGGTTTTGCTGGGGGGGCAAAGCTGTGGGCATGGCATGGAGAGAGGTCTGCAGGCCATGAGCATGGGCATGGCATGGGGGGGTGGTCTGCAGGCCATGAGCTGCAGAGCTCACTGCGGAGCTGTGCTCTGGGGTCACCTCTGCCACCAGCCCATCCCCGTGGCATCCAGGCTCTTACCTTTGGGCAGGGTGAAGGTGAATTTCCTTTTCTGGAAGGAGTAGACCTGGCCGAGGTCACGCTGCTCAATGGTGTCGGTGGTGCCAGTGCTGCCCTGAACAACCTCCCCGCTGTTGATGCAGAGCTGGATGCCAGCGCTGGAGCCCCGCAGCAGCGGGTTCTCCACAGTGAGCCGCAGGGCGTAGCGGCCCTGCCGGTTAAACTGGGCACTCACCACCTCGAACTCAAAATCCAGGGTCTTCTCTTCAGCCTTCAGCCGGGAGCGCTGCAGGGCCAGGGGGATGCGAGGCTCCCCTGCCTTGCCCGCCATGGGGACAGATGGGACCTGGAGATGAACCTTCCTTGATAGCAGGGCCCTTGCAGATCTCTGCCCTGGAGCAAACCCTCCTGGCAGCCTGGGGCAGGTTTCTGAGCTGACCCAGCCCTGCTGCCACTTTCCCCTTCTCTCCAGCAGGGAAAGTGCCTGGGGGTGCCCCTGGGTATGTGTTGGCTTCACATCTCAGCAGGCAGCATTCAAAGCCAGCAAAAAAAAGAAAAAGAAATCCCTGTTCCTGCAAAAGCATTCTTTGGTGCCACAGGGAGATGCTGAGAGCTTTCCTGCCCCTCTGCAGTGGCAGGGACAGGGGCTTTGAGCTCTGGTTTGTTTGCTGGGAAACCAGGTAACTAGATGCAAAGCGGTGGCTGCCTTCCAGCAAGCAGCCTGGGATATCCAGGGTGATGCTGAGCAATGCAACACAGATGTGTGTGTGCATACAGGGTGTGCGGGGGAGTGTGCATCCCTGCAGTGGGGAGCTGATGGTTCCCTGAACTCTTTTGCTTTGGGACCTTCACCACAAAGGGGTTTGCTGGATGTTGCAGAGTCTCCGAGAGATGGTGGTGCGAACCACACTGGCTGCTCCCATGTATGGCTGACCCCCGTGGGACTGTCCTGTTCCTCCTGCACCCATGGGCTGCTTGCTGGATCTCCTGCTGATGGGACCAGGCAGCCAAGCCTGAGACTGCTTTTTGGTTTGTCTCCAAGACAATTTTTTAGCTGGGTTTGCTTGTGGAATTAGCTCCCCATGGGGTCAGGCAAGCCAGGGGAGGGGAATGGATGAGCCTGGGGAGCAGTGCTTGGCTCTTAGATCAGTGCCCAAAAGGGACTGGGGACATTTGCCCTCCTAATCCTAATGCCTGGTGACTTTGCAGGCAAGCCCAAGGCAGAAACCACCCCATGACTGAAAGTGTTTCTACCAAACCAGCAGCCGAAATGGTTCTTTGCAGGCACAACATGGAGGTGTGCATTTGCAGCCGGCCTGGGAGCTTGCTGGGCTTTGGGCACCAATGGATCAACCCAGAGCTGACATCTTGCTGCTGCAGCAGTGGCTGGGAATGCCCGGGGAGTCAGGACCGGGCTGCAGAAGGGGAGCTGGAGCTGGTGTGGTGCCTGGATGCTGGTCAGGAGCCTTGCAGGGGTGATGTCCTGAGGCAAAGCTGGCTATGAAGGGGTTTTGGTCCAGGTCTGCTCTCCTCTGGCTCAGCATTACACCGGCCACTCTTCCCTGCACAGGAATATGCAATTCTGCCTGGTGCAACTGGAGCTGAGCTCCCTGCCTGCTAAATCTGCTGCCGAGCCAGCTGAGCATCCAGAGGTTAGTCCCACCATGGGTATTTTGGGACTGACATGACGGGAGTTGATGGTCTGGGGTGGGCAGGCGCTGGAAGGGCACAGTCTGATTGTCGCCAGGAGCCCCCTGCCCTGTTCTATCTCATTCCCCCATTGCGTGTTCCCACAGCTTTCAGGATGTTTCCAGTGAAATGTGAGCCAGAGTCGGGCTAGCAGATGGCCCTTCTCTAAGACAGCTCCGTGCTCCGTCTAAAAAGCCACATTCCAGTCTCTTCATGCTGGTGCAAGCTTGAAACAACAAGGTTATCTCCCAGGGGGTAGCTGGCTGGGGGATAAAACAGCATCTGAGACCCTGGGGCATAAGATTTTTGCTTTTTTTTTCCTAGTAAGTTTTTTTTTCTGCAAGGCAGCCAGGCCAGACCTGTACCAAATGCATTGCCCCCAAGAAGCCCTTTGGCAGGGAACGTGGGTCATGGATGGACTCATTAAAAAAAAATCCTGGTCTCCCACGCCTTCCCAATGCTTCCAGGGAGGCTGGTTGTACCTCCTGGTCCTTCCTCACTTTCTATTTGGGAAAGAAAAATATAGGTTGGAGTCTTGCCTCGAAGCACTGGTCCCAAACACAACCTCACTGATGTATTTAACCTCCTGCCATGGTGAGGATGCTGGTCAGGGTGAGGACAGGAGGGAAATGGGCCGCAATTCAGGGGTTTTGGGGTGCTGAGTTGGGGTTAAACAGAAAAGGGTGCTCTGCGGGGTGCTGAGGTTGAGGGTGGGGCAGCATTTTCCTGCCAGTTGAGCCTCTTGGGAAGAGTGCTGATGTCCCCAGGGTGCTCAGATCCGCCGGCGGCTGGATTGCTTCCCGGAGAGGGCTGAGAGCATAAATGCTTTTCATGCTGTTGGAGGGCTCGGTGGTTCTTTCCCGAGCGACCACTCAGTGCTCCCGAAGCAGCGATGCGTGTGAACAGGATGGTTTCCCCCAGCCAAGAGCCCGTGGCGGCTTGAACTGCTCTGAGTTGTTTCACCTACACGTTTGTGGCAATCTGGGCTGCTGGTCCCCTATGGCGGTGTCACTGTTGTGCTTATCTGTGCAGCTGGGACTTGCTCCTGCACCACCATACTGTGGTGGGCACCCTGCACCACCCAGCTGGGCTCTGCTTCCCTGGGGCACAGCTGCAAGAGGAACCATGGTGATCAAATCAGGGTCTATGTGAAGGATCACACTCTGGTCTTCAGCTCCTAAAGGCACCTGAAAGATTCCCTCTGCCTCGATAAAAAACCCTGCCAGGCCCTAATGCGGGGAAATGGGAACTATTTCATCCTTAACTAGACTGCTTAATTTCCTTCCCACCCTTGTGCAAACACATTACAGGGCCGCTGCTAATCATCAAAGCACCATCAAAGACTAATTTCCCCATAATCTAATGCACAGTTCACTCATGCAGCACTTTCCCAGCTGCACCAGAGACGCACGTGCAGCAGGTCTGGAGGTGCCACGTCCAGCGCATCAATGTGGCACCGGGCACAGCCAAACCTGGGCCTGAGGCCCTTCCGAAACAAAATAGCGATTTCCAAGGCCCCATTGGGAATGAGGTTGATTCATAAGACAGTGTGAGGTCTATTTATTTTGGCAGCCTGTGGGTTTTTGTTCTGTAAAATGGAAGGTGGCCTTTGATGGCTGGAGCTCTGCCTGTGTAATGAGCTCAAGGTTTGGGTCTGGAAAGCTGTGGAATAGTGATGAGAGCTGGGTGTTTTGGCCAAAGGTGGGTTCCTGCCGTCCTTAGCTCTGTTCTTCCATGTAAGAGTCCTGCCCCGAAGGGAAAGGGTCCCCATGGCCACAGTGATTTGCTCTTGCAGCTTGCTGGGTTGCACCTGAATCTCTGTGCCCTTGCTCCAGCTTCTTATCCAGTGTAACAAGATAAAACAGGCTCAGATCCTGCATACAAGGAGAGGACGCTGCTTCTTCAGGAGCAGAAAAGGGATTTGGGAGATACCTTATGATGTGGGGCAGAGTCTGAGGGTGCTTGTAGTGAGGGGCTCGTAGTGCTGGAGGGTCTCTGCACCCTGCACCTGCTGCTTCAGGCTGAGAGAGGTTTAAGGAGCAGGAAAACCACCCCATCTCTGTGCTTATCCAGCGCAAGCAGCAGCAGCTGGGAATGCCACTGAGCTCCCAGTTCACCCACACCTTGCAGGGCTCTGCCCAGCCTGGGAGGAGGGCAGCCAACCCAGGCAAGGGGTGCCCTGGGGCACTGCCTGGCCAAGGCTTGCACTGGCTTCCCAACAGCCATTTCTGAATAGAAAACACCAAACTGCTGGAATACCAACTTTTTGCAGGGCATTAGAGTGCCTCGAGGTGTTTTGGTAGCAATGAAGCCCTCCAGGGCTCTATAACCATCGCTCTGCTAAGGTCAGGATGGACATCGCTGGGATATGTTTGCCTGGGGCTGAATTCCAGCCTCAGCCCCTCTCTGCTAGCCCTTTCCCAGTCCCTCAGCTCTCCCAGGAAGCACCTTTGGGAACTGACAACAGCATTTCTGATTTAAAAACAACCCCAGGGAGGGGGAAAAAAGGCACATGGGTCATTTTGTTCAGCATTGCTACAAGGTTTTGGCTAAAAATTAAGCTAAATCTTCAACCCTGATTAATTTTCCTGTGCTTCACTTGCTGTCACATGTGTGTATTTATCCAGATTATATTTTTTTGTTGTCTCCTGGACTAAGTGTAGCTGGTGGGAAAGAGGTGCTGGCCAAGGAGCAGATTGGGTAAGGGCAGCATGGCAAAGCTGCCTGTTCCTCCTAGCTGCCTGCACCCATCCCTGGAGCAAAGCATCCCCCAGTTTGCACCCTAAGATGTTTTGCATCCTTTTTTCACCTGGTTCAGGCTGTTTCCCACTGCTCTGGGACCGTTGCTCTGCACCCACGGAGCTTGCTGTGTGAGCCCTGCATAGGATCTGGCCATCTCTGAGGGGAGGATGCTCCGGTGGTGGTGCTGTCCCCAAACCAAGGACGTTTGTTCCCAGGCTTGTGCCAAACCAATGCTTTCTTTCCCTCTTCCAAGTTGCACTGAGTGGGGGTAAAACCAAACAAATCTGCAAGATTTGGGCAAAGGATTGGGCTCAGCTGACTTACACCAGCAAGGAGCTGGCCCTTTGATTTACCCCAGGAGGAAGCAGAGATGTTTGCATCCCATGGAGGGGGGGGATGGGATGCACAGCAGCATCTCGGTCCCTGGGCTTCCCTCTAATTCTCAGCACGGGGCGGTGGAAGAAGCAGCTAAAACCCAGCTGAGCTGGGGAAGAAGGGGGCTGGGTTGAGCTGCCTCCTCTCCCGAAAAGCTCTGCCTAATCAAAGGGAGAACAGAGCACGGGGTTGGTTGTTTTTAATTTTCTAAACCCCAGGGTGGCCCCCAGCCAAGGCCTCCTGGCGATGGAGGGGATAAAGTTCCCTGAGCCACCGCGAGCCTCCGCTCGCTTGCCAGTGCTCTGAACTTTGCCTTTAAGCTTGCATGGCCGCATCCGTGCCGGGCTCCCGCGAGCGGATGCTTTAGACCCCACTTAGTGAGGCCACGCTTCTCCCTAGACCCACATCAAGCCAAGCCTCTGGGTGCCTTGCAAGGAGGCCGCTGGTTGGAAGAAGGTAAATTTTTTTGTATTCTTTCCTCTTTCTCCTCCCCTCCCCTTTTTGTTGTCACTTCTTGCAAACTTG